TGGGGAAGAAATATTTTGAATAGAGTATTGATTGCGAATGAAATAGTTGATGCTTGGCAGAAGAAACAGAAGAAATGCATTATATTAAAACTGGATTTTGAGAAAGCTTATGATTCAATTAATTGGGACTTCCTCTTCTCTATGCTTTCAAATTTCGGGTTTGGCAATAAATGAATTAGTTGGATTAGAGAGTGTGTGTCCTCAACCAAAATTTCTATCTTGGTAAATAGATCACCTACATCTGAGTTTAACCCTGAGAGAGGGCAAAGACAAGGTAACCCATTATCACCATTTTTGTTTAATATTGTGGCTGAGGTTCTTAGTATTATATTGGTGAGAGCTCTGCAGACGGCATTGATTAAAGGGATAGTGGTAGGCTCAAATGATGTTAGGATCACTCATGTTCAGTTTGCAGATGACACAATATTATTTTGTGAGGCAGAAGGGGAGGAGATTATCGTTATCAAAAGGATCTTGAGGTTTTTTGAAGTATTATCTAGGCTGAAAATTAATTATCATAAGAGTGTGATATGTGGGATTGGGGTTGATGATGACCTTACTAAAGAATTTGCTACTAAATTGAATTGTCTTCACCAAAATCTACCATTCAAATACTTAGGGCTGTCACTGGGAGCTAGTCCAAGAAAAATAAGGACATGGCAACCAGTGATTGATAAATGCAAACAAAAGTTGGCTTCTTAGAAGAGGACATTCTATCCTTTGCTGGTAGATTAACTTTGATAAAATATGTGCTATCTAGTTTACCAATTTATTACTTATCTTTGTTTAAGATGCCAGAATGTGTTGCAAAGAAAATAGACAAAATTCAATCTAGATTCATATGGAGAGGTGATGAGCTTAGAAAAAAAATTCATCTAGTCAGTTGGAAGGAGATTTCATAGAGTAAAAGCTAAGAAGGTTTAGGAGTTAAGAGAATCAGACTTATGAATGATTGCCTTCTTTTGAAGTGGTGGTGGAGGTTTGGGTCTAAAAATGATGCATTCTGGAAGCAGGTGATCTACAGCAAATACAGTGAGGCTGGAAGGGGATAGTGGCCACTACCTGTGGTTAGTCTCAAGTCTTCTCAAATCTGGAAAGGTATTATGGGTGTTGCCTGGTATAGACCTGGACTGGTTGACTTCTTCAAAAGCAACATAAGTCCAGTTATTGGGGATAGGAGGAGAACACATTTTTGGGTGGACAAATGGATTGGCAATATTTTTTTGAAAGAGGAATTTACCAAACTGTATTCTTTATCAATGAACAAAGCTGAATCTGTGAATTTGGTGCTAAGTAGCAGAAATGGGATTGAGAAGGGAAATATTAGCTTCAGAAGATCCCTATTCCAATGGAAGGTGGAGGAATTGAGGAGGTTGTATGAGATGTTAATCAAGCACCTGCTCTTAGGGAAGAAATGAGTGATAGTTTGAGTGGGATGCAGAGACATTAGGGTTATTCTCTATTGCCTCAGCATACAAGTGGTGTGAGTTGAGTTTTGTAGATAATAGTAAAATAGCATATTTCATTTGGAAGAATGTCTCTCCACCCAAGATTCAGTTCTTTGGTTGGTTAGCTTGAAAATGAAGGATATTAAGACATCTAGTTATCTACAAAGAATTGGAGTTGCCAGTGATGATATAGATGTTAATTGTATTTTTTGTAAGGAGGTGGTGGAGAGTGTCAACCATGTGCTACTTTTTTGTCCCTTTATTTGGAAGATTTGGTCCAGAATTTTAAATTGGTAAGGTATACAATGGGTAATGCATGGATCTGTGAATAGCCTTTTAAATTGGTACACTAGTATTAAGCTCAAAAAACATGAGAAGATGATCTAGACAGCACTCCCCCTAGCTGTGCTATGGTCAATTTGGAAGTAGAGAAATGATAGCATCTTCAACAATGCACAGGCAGATCTTGATGGTCTGTGTGAATCCATTAAGGTTAGGATTGCATTGTGGGTTAAAAGCTCTGGCCCATCCTTCAATTACTCAATGAATGACTTAGTTCACAATCTTTAGCAAGTGAGATTCTGCATAAGGGGTGGGACTTGAGTTGTTTGGGAGGTTGCTTTTCTCCCCTGCATCACTGGAGGCTGCTACAGTTGCTTAGTGATGGTCGTTATGCTTTTTGGTGGTTTTTCTTTGTTGTTGGTTTCTCACCAACTGTGTGGTTGTGCTAGTAAATGATTGGGTATCTTCCTTGGTGCCAACCTAATTGGGATTGAGGTAGTTTACTTTGATACTTTTTGCGCTTCTTCTTCTTTATTGATGTGATTTCATATGAAATGTATGCTTTTTTATCAATAATTTTTTTTTTTTTTTTTTTTTTTTTTTTTTTGCTAATCAAAAAAAAAATATATTGCTTGATGTTCAAATAAGTTGTAAGTAATATTTTATGATCATGTTGTGAAAACTATGATTCCAAATTGAATCGAACTTCGTTTTATTGGTTCAGTTTGATTTTTTTATAAAATTTTTATGGTCTAATTTCAAATTTCATGAATCAGTAAGTAGTCATTTGGTCATTGATCTCTTAAACCAAATCGAACCATGCTCACACCTTGAGAGGGAGATTTATAGTCTGGCTTTGGGCCGTGGAAGAAGCCGGATAGGATGGGGCCGAGCAAGTTTGGGCCTAGCTAACTTGGGCTTACCCGGGCCTGATCTCGCTCGGTCGTGGCCAGGGCCTGAGGACGATCTCATGTTTTGAACCGAGCTTCCCCAGATTGGAACTTGCTCGATCGAGGCCCATCTCCGAGGTCCACCTTTGCCGAGACAGGCTTTTGCTACCCAGGTTTTATGGGAGCACGATTAGCTCGGTTATGCCGGAATGCTACCGAGCTCAGCTGTATGGAGTTCGGCAATGGAGCACTCGGGTACGCTGCGCAGCGCGGTCGTGAAAGGCCGAGGTGGTTCCGCTGGTCTGCCAGGCTCTGCTAGCATAGCCTGACAGTTTGGTTAGGTGGTAATTGCAGGATTTGTGCTGACAGATGGGAGAGCAGCACCACGTGTCAAGAGACTAATGGGAGCAGATCTGCGCACAGAAAGTATATAAGCGAGTCTGTGCCCCCCATGCTGGGATGGAACATAATTTGGTGAGAACAACCTAAACACTCAACTCTCTCCTCTCTCTCTAGATCCCTGAGTGTGTGCTAACTTGACCGTCGGAGGGGTTTTCTGGCCACACACCGCCGGGTAGCTCGCCGCTGTTGTGTTCGCAGGTCGATCGGACAGACAAGGAGCTTGGCGGAAAGGAGTACGGGCTCTGCGGAATATTTGCTCCCCGTACACACCTAATAGGACAACTTACTATTTAATGTAACTCTACTTACCATTTGTTTTGAGTCTATTTATTACTAAATATAATAAATCTCATAAATTTAATAGAATTACACCGATCTCCTTTTTAGTAAAGTTAAAACAATCACAATTAATGCAGATAATGCAGATAGTATATAAATACAAGAATAAAAAAAGATAAAATATGTATTTCAATATTAAAGAAATAACATCATTTTTTATTATTTATACAACTAACAAAATGTTATTAAAAAATGAACTAAATATTATGTAAATTAAATTTTGAAAGAAATCTAATATAATCATGTCAAATTTTATGGAACTCAATCTTTTTTTTAAACCCTAAAAAAGATTAGTGTATTTTTTTTAAAAAAACAATTTGATGTAAAACCCAATTGCATTAGAAAGTCACTAGCTGTTCTCAAAAAAAGAAAAAAAAGAAAGAAAGAAGAAGCTACCACCTGCAAAACCGGTAATTCCCTGGTGACTAAAGTGTGTTGGAATTAGTATTTCACTTTTAGGTATGATGCAGAAAAACCATTTTTCTATACTGTAGTCGGACCCTTTCCCAAAAGAGTATGTACATCTCACCTCAACTCCACAATTACCACTATGTCTTACAAAATTCCCTACTAACTAGGACCAGTGACTGCATATGATAACAACACATGCTTAAAAATAAGAAAATAAGTTAATGAAATAAAATCGAGTTTCGCCTTTGCAGCCCAGTTGAGTCAACTCGATCTCATGCATGGTTAAATTAAATAAAAAAATAAGGATGAATTATCAATAAGTCATAATAATTGAATTTAATTTGTCCTATTAAAAATAAGTCTTAATAAAATCGTCGTTAAAAATAATTTTTTATATATGTCGCTAACAATTAGTGACTTTTTTATCATGGCTTTTATAAATTGTCTCTAAAACTTACAGTTAGTGATATTTTTTTGTGACGAATTTGTCAAACTGTCGTTGAAAATTAAAAATTAGTAATTTTTTTGTGGTGATTTTTTTAAATTGTTACTAAAACTTATAATTAGTGACATTTTTTGTGACAATATTTTTAAACTATCAGTAAAAATTAATAATTAGGAATTTTTTGATAATGTTTGATAAAAAATATCATTAATTCTCACAAGTTCTATTAAATAATAATTTTACCTATTAAAACTTATACGTAAGTCTCCATAAAATAATATACATCGTTAATCGTATATATAGCTTAATAATGGTCCCAACACCCTTGCAAAAGGTACCCAAATCTGCCTAAGGATCTCCTGTCCTTAAATATCCATGTCTCCATGTCTCAAATCACTCACAACCATTAGATATGTCTTGAGATTCTCAAATTTTGGAATTCTCATATGATCCAATAGTTGTGAGTGATTTGAGACAAGGGGCATAAATATTTGGGGACAGGGAATCCTTGCTCCCCAAATCTATAGAATATTGATTATAAAATCAATTGAAAATCTTGGAGTTTGTCTAGAATCGAATTATATTAATTAGATGAAGAAAAAATTATTGGGTGCAGATATGGTACCCTATGGCATGCCATATGGTACCTTCAATCAATCACAAACACCATGGCCTCCTATGTTGTTTTTCCATCACCTAATATATAAATGTAGCTCCCACTCTCCCAACCAATAAGAGAAAAAAAAGGTACCATATGACACTTACCCTATCTGTATTCAAAAATTTCTCAGATAAAAGACCTTTGTAAGTTGATGGTTTCGTCGTCAAGCCACAACTTAACTAACTTCCTCCCTACTTTTTCTTTTTTCCATTTTTTCCTATACAAACAAACACAATGGACTCAACCCTAAGCTTAAGCTAAAAGCCATCAATGCATTATGAAAACCAAACAGTATCACACCCCTATTTTCCCTCTCAATTTTTTTACCCAAAACCATTAGGCTCATTTGCTTTCTCACTAAGCCAACATTAATATTGTGGGCTTAACTCTTAAACAATAAAATAACATAAATGAGAGAGAGAACTAAGAATCCACCAACCTACTAATATTTCTCATTTTTACATACCTAACCACCTTTCACATCTACCCCTCCTTTCTTCTTCTTCTTCTTCTTCTTCTTCTTCTTCTTCTACGTTTCAAGGTCCATTGGAGCAAAGGCTTTTCCCATGCGAACAAAGCTCCTCGACTCACACAGTTTACTTTTCTTCTGGGCCTCAACATCTTCACCTTCCGCCTCTTGTACTTCATACTTTGATAGCGAGTGGTATTTGACTTTCTCTCCATGAATTTTGATGAAGAACAAGTACAAGCACATGGCACAAATGGTCACCAGAATCAAGTACCAGCTAAATTGGATGTTTACCAGTGATTTGGCACGCTCGAGCGCCTCATGACTCTGGCACCGGACCACTTTGTGGCCTTCTTCCAAGTTCATGAAGCAACCTTTTGGCATGAACTGTGGGGTCCAAAGCATGAAGCCCATGACCATTAGCCAAATACCTTGGAATAGTATGCTAAGAGACCTAACAAAACTGATCAAGAAACTGTTAGGGTAACCAATACCCATGAGAGTGGTGGTGAGAGAGACAAATATGGCAATCTGGAGGAGCAAGTGGTATTGGCCTTCAACACCTGTGTGGTCAGCCGAGTGGAGGTGGAAGATGAGGAGTTGCTGGCCAAAGGCAAGGGCTCCAAGCAATTGGGTGAGACCATATTGGGCTTTCGGGCAAGTTCGGTCAAGGATGATGGCAAAAGCTGCATAAACAAAGAAAGTCATGGATATTGAGGAATGTTCAAAGTTGTGAAGATGGTTGGAGGGAATGGTGCCATCCGGGTCAAAAGGCTGGTGGCGTTTGGGGCCGATGAAGAGTTCCATAGCTATAGAGATGGAGCAGCCTGCCATGATCAAGGAGAGCTCTAAGTACCTTAACTTTGAGGTGGGAAACCATGGCATGGATTTGTAGTTTGTGTTGAGAGCATGGAGTTTGATATGGTTAAGGAGGTGCCATAAACCAAAGACAAAGAAGCCAAAGCCAGGTGCTACATGTCCCACCAAAGTGCCCATGTTTTTTTGAGGACTTTATTCTCCTAGTTTGTTTTGTCCACAGAGCGAGAGAGAGAGAGATGACCACAAGGATATATATAAGAGGAGAGAGGATTGTTAGGATCAAACACACCCAGAAATATATCTCACACACACAGGGAACACAATATTTACGTGGTTCGGCCCAATGCCTACATCCACGGACAGAAATGAGAAGTTTTCACTAAAATGGAGCAAAATACAAAATACAGAGGAGGAGATGAAACTCACTCAACTCACAGCTCTTTACTCTCTAATTTCTGATCTGTATCTCATCCTCTCCCTCCCGTCTCTATTTATACACAAAGGAGTAGGTGGGAGAGCCTTCATTCTTGACTTGGGTAGCCTCCATTCTTGACCTTTGCTATGGTTGGTGGCCACCAAATGAGGATCACCCCTTTCACATGGGGTGACCTTCAACAAGGATTGGGGTGAAGAAGGATGGGGAAAAGGATGGAGTTGTTGAAGGACTAGAGGCTTCCATGAGGGGTTTGAATTTTGTAGATTTTGAAGGGGTTACTTGTTTGGTGGCTTGAAGTTCTAGAATGAAAGAGGGCCCAAGTTCCATCAATTAGACTTGTCAAATGGCTAAATTGTCCCCGATTTTAGTTTTACGGCTGTCCTAAAATTCATTTGTTATTACTATATTTGTCTAATTATTTGATAATGTGAAACACAAATGAAGAAACAGGGCCGGTCCTGGGCATGGACCAATCAGATCATGACTTAAAATCCCTCAAAATAGATTTAAAAGGGGTTCTTTTATTATGGTTTACTGTAATATATTAGATATGTTTTAAGTTCAAAAAAAAAATTAAAGAATGTCCAAACTAATTTAAAATAAATTGATCCATTAAAAAATTGAAAGGCCTATTCAAAAAAATTAACATTGTTATCCATTGAAAATAGACCCAAAAAAAGGGTCCCCTCCTATTGTAGTTTATTGTAATATATTAGGTATGTTTTAAATCCAAAAAAAACTTAAGAAATACCCAAATTAACTTAAAATAAATTGATCCATTAAAAAATTGAAAACGCAATTTAAAATAACTAGCATTATTATCCATTGAAAATGATTTTGCAAAAAAATTAGATTATTCAAGTATTATTGATTTGTTTGCTTCTAAAAATGCAAGAAGAGCGAGGATCAAACGACACTTATTAGTTGTTGTAATATAATACTAAGTATTTTTTATGATTTTGATACAAATTTTGTCTTTTATCTTCATTTTTTTTTCATTTTTTTTCATTCAATGAAAAAAAAATGTGAAGGATCTCAAAAATTTATTAGTTGATTATTGGTTTTGGGCCCCAGAAATCTCAGGGCCAAGCCTGAGAAAACTTGGCACTACAGTCGAATTCATGCTCTGTTTCTAGGCATTTATAAATGGGTAAATTACCAACAGGTCTTATAAGTTGGATTTATTTCCCTTCAAGTTCTATTTAAAATAAGTCACAATAAAATTATCGTTAAAAATATTTTTTTTAATGATTTTTTGCATGTCTCTAAAAATTGATAATTAGTAACTTTTTTTGTCGTAGTTTTTTTAAATTGTTGCTAAAACATACAATTAATAACGTTTTCTTGTGACAAAATTTTTAAACTGTCGCTGAAAATTAAAAATTAATGACTTTTTTTGCAACGATTATAATTAGTGACATTTTTTGTGACAATTTGCAAACTGTCGCTAAAAATTAACAATTAGTGACATTTTTTTAATAGTATTTGATGAAAAATATCATTAATTATCATAAGACCTATTGAACAATAAGTACACCTATTATGACTTATACATAAGTCCCCTTTATAAATAGAGTTTTTTCAATCCAAAAATTTGTCATTTGTGAATGTATTCCATATCATAAATTTTCTTTGAACAATTTTATGGATGCAAAATATTTTACCAAAATTTTGACACAACACTCACGTGGATATCAAACCCACACTCATGTAAGTGATTGGTAAAAATTTTAATTGAATATTTGGAATCGCTAACATTTTTTATTTTCATATGATCACTATAAGAAATGTCACTTTTGGCTACTAAACTATTGGTCGGCAAAAGGCCTAAATTTGGTCGCTGAAACGATTTCCCGACCAAATATTCCTGTCGCCAAGTTCGTCACCTATACCCTGTCGGCCATAGTGTTGGCGACCAAAATTCATTTCGTCGCCAAAAAATGAAACATTTCCCTACTAAATTTCTTTTAGTAGGCAAATGGTATCTTTTCGCCACTAAAACCATTAGTCGCCGAATGTGACTTTTGCCTACTACGCTCATGTAGTCGAGGAAGGTGTTAGTTTTTGCTACGAAAATATTGGTCACCGAAAGTGAACATTTACCTACGAATCCTTTGTTAGTCGGCAAACGTGGGCTTTCCGCTACTAAAATTTTAGTCACTAAAAGTTCTACCGTTAAATTTTGACCAACTATTAGAGACTAAAAATTTTGGTGACCAATAGAATACATATTTTTAGCCACCATGTCATTAGTCGTGGTAACTTTTGCCGACTAAAACTGTTCGTAGCTAAAAACCTATTAAGATTCATCTGAAAACTTTTTGCCACCAAAAGTTTTAGTCGCCAAATGATACCCTTTTTTCCGTGACTAAAAAATTTAGTGGCCAATAGTTTACTTCTCTCATTCTCAAATTTTTTAGCTAATAACTTGTTGGTCACAAAAACGTTTTGGGTTATGTTTTTGCTACTGAATTATTAGTAGCCAAAACTTTTGATTACCTATTTGGCTACAAAAACATTTGGTGGCCAAATAATTTTTTGTTTCATTTTTTTTTTTTTAAAAAAAAAAATTGTAAACAACCTGTATTCATTATTAGTACAACCTGTACCCTGTATAAATAATATAATCCATCAACACTAAAATATATTATCAACCATTAAAGCATTCAACAACGTGCACACATTTCAATTCCAAGCATCCAAAAAATTAATCTTCAACGTCCCAACGTCCAATTCTATATATAATACAAATTCCATACACTCCAAGTCTAATCCAATGTCAATAATTTAAATCCATACATAATACAGGAATAACCAAATTAATTGACAAAAAGAACATATGTACCACGACAAAAATTTAATCTGTACTGCCCCAAAACTATTTTGTACCACGTGCTATGCTAATTTTTACCACGCCAATTTTAATCAGATATTTACCACACCAAAAGAGTAATTTGTACGAGCCACTATATATACGGATAGAGATATAAAAACAATGCCCTCCCGTAATTGTCAAAAAATTATATATCCACATTTGTATGTCCAAAACCATCTGCAAAAAAAAATAAATTTCATTAGTTTGGTGCCTATATAGCAACTGTATTAATTTTAAACATTAAAAGCCAAGGAGAGTAATAGCTATTAATTAATGAAAGACATCCAAACATGGAATTCTTGACGAGCATCGATTCTATGAATTAATGCCAAAAGTTGTGTTTATAGCAATTAAAAGGGCGACAGTCAAGAAAAGCACTAAACAATTTACCAAAAATATTGTGCCACGTTTAACTAATAAAGAAAGAGTTAAACAAACGATAGTATTACCAAAATAAGGTGTCCTATTTACGTACCAAAAATATTGTGCCACGTAACTAATAAGGTGTCCTATTTACGTACCGTTCGTCCCTACATGTCACATTTGTCACTAGTAAGCTTCCCGTTACCTAAAAACAGTGGTTCGGGGGTTGTTTTATATTTTCGCCCCCCGAACCCCTTTTTTCGACTAAGTTTATGACATTTTCAACTCTAACTCCCAACATAGGTGTCCTATTTCCGTACCTCAAGTCCCTACATGTCACATTTATCACCGGGAAGCTTCCCGTTACGAAAAAATTGTGGTTCGGGGGCTGTTTTGCATTTTCGCCCCCCAAACCCCTTTTTTCGACTAAGTTTATGACATTTTCAACCTTAACTCCATACATACGTGTCCTATTTACATACCGTCTATCCCTACATGACACATTTGTCACCGGGAAGCTTCACGTTACGAGAAAATGGTGCCTCGAGGGCTGTTTTGCATTTTCGCCCCCCGAACCCCTTTTTTCGGCTAAGTTTATGATATTTTCTACCCTAACTCCCAACATACGTGTCCTATTACGTACCGTCTGTCACTACATGTCACATTTATCACCGGGAAGCTTCCCATTACGAAAAAACAGTGGTTTGGGGGCTGTTTTTCATTTTCGACCCCCGAACCGCTTTTTTCGACTAAGTTTATGACATTTTTAACTCTAACTCCCAACGTAGGTGTCCCATTTACGTACCGCCTATCCCTACATGTCACATTTGTCACCAGGAAGCTTCCCGTTACGAAAAAACAGTGGTTCGGGGGTTGTTTTGCATTTTCGCCCCCCGAAACCCTTTTTTCGACTAAGTCTATGACATTTTCAACTCTAACTCCCAATGTTGGTATCCTATTTTCATACCGTCTGTCCCTACATGTCACATTTACCACCGGAAAGCTTCCCATTACAAAAAAACAGTGGTTCAGGGGCTGTTTTGCATTTTCACCCCCCGAACACCTTTTTTCGACTAAGTTTATGACATTTTTAACTCTAACTCCCAACGCAGGTGTCCCAGTTATGTACCGTCGGTCTCTACATGTCGCATTTATCACCAGGAAGCTTTCCGTTATGAAAAAACAGTGGTTCGGGGGCTGTTTTGCATTTTCGCGCCCCGAACCCCTTTTTTCGACTAAGTTTATGACATTTTCAACCTTAACTCCATACATACGTGTCCTATTTACGTACCGTCTATCCCTACATGACACATTTATCACCGTGAAGCTTCCCGTTAAGAAAAAATAGTGGTTCAGGGCCTGTTTTTCATTTTCGCCCCCCAAACCCCTTTTTTCGACTAAGTTTATGATATTTTCTACCCTAACTCCCAATGTATGTGTCCTATTTATGTACCGTCTGTCACTACATGTCACATTTATCACCGGGAAGCTTCTCATTATGAAAAAATAGTGGTTCGGGGCCTATTTTTCATTTTCGCCCCCCGAACCGCTTTTTTCGACTAAGTTTATGACATTTTTAACTCTAACT